CCTGGACAATGACCCGTTTGGGCGTCCCTGCGGAGGTGACGGCAGGATGCGGGGCCTTCTTGACGGAGGAGGAGACCCCGGTCTGGGAGCCCGAGAGCTGGCTGGCAGGGGGTGCGGGCGGCTGCGCCGGTGGGGGCTGGGCGAACGTGGACAGGTTGGCGCACGACAGCGACTTCTTCAGGTTCTCATTGTTGAGGTGCGTGATGTTGTTCTGGTAGCTGCTGTTGGGCTGCACCTTCTTGGAGTTCTTCTTCTTGGCCGACACGGCCACGATCCTCTTCCAAGGCAGCACGGAGATGATAGAGTGCCGCTTCAGGTTCTTGTCCTTGGCGTTCTTGCTGTTCTGCACGGCCGTGTAGTGGCCCACCGTGGCCGCGCCATCCTCAAACAGCGTGGCCTTCCGGTAGCTGGGGGACAGGGACAGCACCGTGCCCATGGTGCCGCTGCGCGCCGGGCGGGTACCTGCGCCCCTGCGCGCCCAGCCTGCCGGCCGGAGGGACGAAACAGCTCACCAAGCCCGAGGCGGCCAGGGGGAGGCCGGGGCGCTCCCGGGGTCGCTTGCCGCCCCTTCGGATCTGTGTGGAAAACAAGATGGTTCTCAGCACCAGGCGCGGCTCGCGTCGCGCTCCTCCGCCCCGGCCTCGGCGGCCCCGCGGACCTGGCCCCGGACCCGCGCCCAGGCCTTCCCCGGCCGGCACGGCCCCGCCCGCGCCCCCGCGCCGCAACCCGGCCGCTCCACTGCGGCACCGGCACCCGCGCCCGCCAGGGTCCGGATGGCAGCGCGGGGGACCGGGAGTCGGCGGAGGTGGCCGGGGACCCCGCCTCGAAACCGCACGCGGCCGCGACCCCGGCCCGGCTCCCCGGGGACAGCGGACGGCCCGAGGCGCAGGCTTACCGAGCAGGTGGCTCCTGCGCTCTGCACCCTCCGCAATGCGCGCCGCGGCTCGACGCCGCGGTCCCGGCGCTCGGCGGGGCTCGGCGGGGCTCGCGCTCGGCGGCGGCGGCGGTGGCGGCGGCGGCGGCGGCTCCGGAGCTTCTGTCCAAGGTTCTGCTGGCGCCGCGGCCCCGCCCCCCGCTCGGCCGCCTTCGCCGCCGCCGCGCCCGCGCCCGCCCCGGCGCGCACCTCAGCGGCCTCCCTCTCGGGCGCGCGCGCGGCCCACGCGCAGGCCCGGCCAGGCCTAGTCTCGCCCGGGAGCCGGAGCCGCCGCTGTGCTCAGCACCAGCTGCGCGCGGTGCTGGCAGCGACACGGCCGCGAGCCCCAGGCGCCGCTCTACTCGCCGCGCCCCATCCAGGACCCGGGCTCGGGCGGCGGGTACTCGCGGCACCGCCCCGCCCCTCCCCGCCCCGCCCCGCGGGGCCGCCCCCCTCCCACACTGCTCGCCGCCCTCTCGGCACCGCCCCACCAGCAACAGCCCGGCCGTGCGAGAGTCCCGGGCGCACCGCGCAGCCGAGCTCGGGCGGGTGGAAAAGCTCCGGGCGGGGCGGGGCCGAGGGCCGACCCCGCCCGCCGCCCCGCCCAGACACGTGCTGCCTTTGTTCCCGCCGCGGCGCCGGCAACTGCGGCCGCGGGGGCGCTCTCGGCCGCGTCCCCGTCCTGGCCGCCAGAGAAGCCATCCACGGAGGCTAGGACCCCGAGCAGCCTCCTTCCATTTAACCTCCTCGTCCCCGGGGACGTAAGCTAGGGAGCTCAGGGAGCAAGGTGGGGAGAGGCTAAGCCTTTGCTGAGGCCGCCTGAGTGCCCCAAGCATCCCAAGGGGACTGTCGCATCAGTTTTGAGTGCCTTTCCCTCTGGGATCTCTGTTGCCCCATCCCAGGTAAATGCCCACGGCCCAGGTACAGAGCGACTAGCCTTCCCACACCACACCTGGGACAGAGCCCTGACGCTTCTGGCTCGGTCGCTGCCCCAGAGAAGGGCCAATACTGAGCCCATCACAAATGCGACCTCAAAATTTCCACCAGCCCTCTTGTTATAGAACAACTGAAGCAACTGCTTCTCCAACCAGCCTCTGATCTGCTGATTTAAATATTTTTCATGCTAAGCATATATAATTTGAAGATTCGGTGCCCATAAAATTATTAAATTCTGAGTAAAACTCTGGTTCTAATAAGAACTTTTCCTCTCACAAGGAACAAGAATCCAGATTCTTCACAAAGGCTATTCTTCACTATTCTTTGTTTAGTTCTGGAGATTGACTCAGATTTGACCACAAACCTGGGAAACAGGAGACTTAAACAATATCTTAATCCAAATTACCGCCTCTGGACCTGGTGATGAGGAAGTAGCAATCCAGAGAACACCCAATCCCCTGACTCCCAGGCCACTCCAGCACACAACCTGTGCCAGTTCTGCCTACTGCTCTAAGCAGTAAAGAAATCTGGTATCATTCAAACAATGCTACCATCATCAGAAAGTACTAGAATTTGCTAAAGTACTACTTAGAGATTCCTCTGTCAACAGTGGCAACAAAGCTTTAGGGGCCTTGGTGACCATACAGTGGGAAATGCATTACTCTGTACCCAGAAGGCTACTTCTTGTAGAGTCCTTGAGAAACATCCACAGTAGCTGTCATCTTAACTTAGAAGATAAAGGCAGGCCCTTAGCCCAGTGTGCCCCTCCCTCTGAACATTCCTCAGTGTACAACACCTACCTGCTCTTCAAATGGAGCTGTCCTCCATAGTAAGGAGCTCTAAGAAGCAATCTCCTCCAGGTCCACTGGCCCAATGACTCTCTTCCTAAGGCAAAGTTGGACCCCAGCCTTTTTTCATCCTGCCCCTAATGGAGGCCCAGCTCCTGAGTTGGCCCATGTCCACGCTGCCTTTCCTGTGTTGAGCAGGGGTTAAGTGCTTTCCACTTCCCAAAATATGCTTAGATTTCTAAGCCTGTAATCCACCCCTCAGAACTATCTGGAGCCGCCCTGTACTTACCTGTACCTACAAAATTTCAATACTAACTATTCCAATTCATGGTGGGCAGTACCCAGCTCCACCCCACCCCATTTCCCAAACCATGGAAGCTCGCATTGGCCTGGGCCTTTTCCAGCCTGCGTCCTCTCTTGCCTTTGCCCAGCCAGCCCTCCCCTACTACCTTCAAAAAGAGCTCTTGGCAGAACTACTCCAACCTCCTCACACTTGTCAGAGGCAAAGTCATGTGTGCAGCAGAGCATGAATGGGATGGCACTGCCAGCACAGTGGCTTTTGTGACCGAAGAACCCTGGAACCCTGTCCACCCGTGTTGTGCCTGCTCTGCCTGTTTTGAGGCACCACACCACTCCTCTGCTCACTCAACACACCAACAACCCCCCTCCCCCTCCCAGCTCCCAGTACTTCTCCAACTGCAAAGCGAAGAAGGAATAGCTACAATCTGCCACAAATGGCAGATCAAGGACCCAGGAGGCAGACCTGGATGAATGATGCACAGCTGTTTTCTTCTGTCTTCACCAGAGAACTGCAGGGAAGCTCTCCAAATCCCACCCCCATCAATCAGCCTCTTTATCCTATAGTCTATCCCTAGCTGCCGGAAAGGCCAGCCTGCGCGTTACATGCACGGCTGGGATGTCCATGGAGAGTTCCCATCCTCTGCATGCCCCTTTCCCACACCACTCTGAGGAAGGGAGGCCAAGGCCACAGCCAGCCAGCTCTCAGAAAGGGTTCCAAATAAAGCAGGTCTGAGCCCTGGCTCCTGAGGAAGCCGTGCTTTGTTCTCTCAGGCATCACAGAGCAGCATCTAGTGGCCTTTCTGGGCAGCACAGGTTACATAACTAGCATGCAGCGGGGCTCCACAGCCCAGGGACGCAGCCGCCGCTCCCAACGCCATCAGGATCTCATCAACACACAAGGAAGCCCAGGCACCGTGAAGCCTGGTGCCAGGAAGGGCCCATAATTGAGGGAGCCAGGCCCATGCTAGCCCATGGGCTACCCCACCCTCTCAGCTGCACCTAGATGCAGCTTACCGAGGCCTGGGAGGGGAAGCAGTCCCTCGAGGTCTGGAGCAGCGCTGTCCAAAAAAAACCATGAGCCACAAATGCAAGCCCCGTAGATAATTAAATATTTTCTAGCAGCCACATAAAAAAAGTTAAAAAAACAGGTATATCTTAATAGTACATTTAACCCAATAAATGCTCAAAATATTTCAACATATATATAAAAAAGAAGTTGAGCAATTTTTCTTTTTTCACATTCTTCAAAGTCTGGTTTGTTTACATTTGCAGGGCATCACAGTTTGAACTAGCCACAATTTCAAGGACTCAACAGCCATATGGGGCTCATGGCCACACACTGGACAGCACGGGTCTGCAGAAGTCAGCAGACCTGCCCAGGGAGATGACGAGAAGGCTGCTGCCCCACTGAGCTCCTGGGACTGCCCTCCCCCCACTGCTCGGGCTCTTGATCCCTTTGGAATATTTTTAAAGTCCTTTATTGAAGCACAACTCTTCCTTAAGTAAAACTATACACAGAGACACAATACTGAAAGAGAGCAGAGAGTGGCTCAGACTGGAGTTGGTGGCTAGAGCCCACCCTCCCTCCCAGTGGCCCCAGAGCCCCACAAGACAGGTCACTCCCAGGGTCTGAGGGGTAGTATAAAATCAATCCTTTTGAACAAGATTCCAAAAAACTAAAACTAAGCCACAAGTGAATGCCAGGGCTCTCCAGGCACCTGTACTTCCATGACTTCATGTAGCACTCCCACCACAATTACCTACCAAGAAAGCGCCATCCTTGTCGTGTAAGTGAGGAAACAGGCTCAGAGGATATTACAACCCAAACCCCATGTCCTCACTGGACCATGATGCCTTGGAAAAACAAAGATAACTGAGCCCCATTTCCCATTTTAGCCCTCACAGACCAACTTTCTCACCCAAAGCCCTCCACTTGACCCCGGATCTAAAGGTCTCCCATGAAGCAAATGAGACAGTAGAGCTTTGTCCAGTCTAGAGGGCTACACAGAGCTGTCTGGACTTGGTCAGAAGCCCTCCAGCACTCAAGAAAGGACACTTTTTGAAAAAAAAAATTGTTTTTATTGGAACTCATCTGAACATCAGATATACCTGGTGTTGGTTAGCAAGAACCGTTTGTACATTTGATATTGATGGTGCCAAAACCAAAACAGTGACTGGACATGATGGGGAAAGATGTTGAGAACAAAAACCTGATTTTGGAGAGGAAAATAAAAGCCAGTCAGATTCAGTGAGGATGCAAAACCTGGTACAACAAAATCCTTTTACAAAATATAAATTTATTACGAAAACCTGGAAGGATAATCTGACAAAGGGAAAGAAAGATAAAAGGAGGCCAGCAGGAAGGAGGCAGGAGGAGGGGGAGAGGAAAAAAGAAGACAAAGAAGAATGAGAGGAAGAAGAAAATATAGCTGAGCACAACAGAGGTGCAGAAGCTTACCTGCCCAAATGGCATTAAAAGCCTTGCTATGTAATCTCATCATAAAACAAAGCATGCTGGAGTACAGTGCTCTACCTCCCATCCGTTCCATTTCTAAGAGGTAAATAAAGAAAGCTCCCTGGGAAGGGGACATGAGGTTGCTCAAAAACCCAACAACAAAAATTGGGAGGGGAAAAAAAAAAACAAACAACAACACACCCCACAGTCTCATTTCCGATGTTCACTGTTTAAAAAAGGAATAAATCCATCTGACAGCAGGAGAGAAGCAGGGGGATGGGGAGAGAAGCTGAAGTATTTCAGACAGCCTGGCTCCCCTGGAGGGGGGAAGGAGGAAGGAAGAGACATGGGATGGTCTCCTGGTTGAGAGAAGGGGAAAGAGGGGGAGAGAGAAAAGAGCAGAGGAGAGGGGCAATTAAAACACTGACATCTAATCTAGTTTACTGTGTTAAAAAGAGCCACATGCACAGCAGGCCCCCTGAGGGCCCACACTGCTCCCTGTGTGGCCATGGTGACACTAGCTCCTGGCCATGTCCCCATTCCTTCCCAGGTTGGAGCGGAGCCGTGCAGGTGCTGCTGCGGCGGTGGCGGCGGCGGGACCTTCGGCCAGTCTGCTGGAGCCATTGTTGGGGGGAGGGCGGGGGGATGGGCCACATGGCAGGGGAAAGGACACCGAAACGCCTCATTTCAAATAAAAAGGAAAATAGCAGTCTATACACAGTTGTTTGTTTTGGTTCAGTACAAACAGAATAGAAAGTCGTTGCTTTGATAGTCAGGCGAACACCCAATTCTGAAGAGGAGGTGAGGTGACACCCAGCGGGTGGGTTAGGAGCCCCAGTGGCTGGCGGAGCGCCTGGCTTGGTGGCCCTCTCCCAGGAGGCAGAGAGCACAGCTTTAGGTAGTGTAAGCCTTTTTCCTTTTATTTAGAATAACCTTTTTTTTTCTTTTTTTTCTTTTTTTAAGCAATTTCCCCACTCCCAAGTTGGGCCAGTAAAGATTACATGAAAACTGGCACACCTATCGGCTGGAATACAGATGCACCAAATGAGGATTTAAAAACTTTCTGAGCGAAAAGTAGAACAGAAAGAAAAAATCTCCTAGCATTTTCCCCAAAGGTTTCACTCTCCCGCCACACACACTCTCCAAAGGACCGCTACAGATCCAACTCTGCAAGAGAAGACAGAGCAGTGTCAATCGGGGAAGCCGCAAGGCCACCAGGAGGCTTTCAGTCTCGACAGGCAGAAGACAGCGCTGCCCGGGCCCGGGTCCCGGAGTCAGCACTCACCTATGTCAGTTTCTTGGCTTTGTTGTAGAGGGAATCCACTACTTTACTCATGTTCTGAATTGTTTCCAGAGCAGCTTCGTAAGTTTTATCTACTGGGGGTTCATCAAAAATAATCAAGACACCCTCCCCCTGGTCCAAGATCCCTGCAGAAAACACAAGCAAACCCAGGTAAAAGAAAGGATTAGACACACGAGCATTTGAGAAGCAGCCCACTCCCTAGCTGCCTCACTTTCTCCAGAAAGGAGTAGAAACAGAAGTCATCTTCCTGTTCCATTCGTGCATGTTTATTACACTCTCATCACAGGCATAACAGGGGCAAGGATCCCAGGGAACCACCAGGTGATACAATGGAGCATCTTCTTTCAAGATAAACAAGAGCATGATGCCTCTTCACCATTTCATCACCTCCACCAGCCCCCTCGCCGGTACGACTGTTACTCACCATGAAATTTCTTGTCAAGAATCATCTGTGATAATTTCCTTTCCACGTCGGCCTAAAATCAAAGCACATGATTAAAGGGCCCAGCATCTACTAGTGAGAGATCACACTGACATGAAAGCCTTGTATAAAAGGATCTTATGGCAAATGGTCTGAAAATAAAACAGCAACAATGCATCTGCAGCTCTCAGCCCACGGTCCCCAGTCCCCACTGAGAAGCTTGGGAGCTTTGCAATAAGGCCCAGCGGGTGTAAACGGCAGCCCCTCCACATGCCCCTTTCCCCATCCCTACCCTCAAGACAAGCTCAGGACTCCTTACCTTGGAGAGTTTGATGAGGCTAGATATGTGTTCGATCTAAAAGGAAAGGTAAAAAGACACCAACACTGAAAGTTTTACTTCTGCCTCTAATATCGGGATGAGGGTGGTGCTGTATCTTGAAATCCTGCCGAATGTCTCTACAGGGACAGATTCTCTTTGGCTGTGCTTAGGTCTCTTGTGCTTGGTCCATCTGCCTACCCTGCATCACTACAGACAACAAATACACTCCTGTCCCACACACCCAGAACAGAAAGCATTTACCACATGCACAGTGACTACAAAAGCTAGGAGGAGACTGCACTGAAAACAAGCAGGGGCAATCTCACCAGCCTCTACCCCACAGCAACCCTCTCCTTGACTCTCATTCCCTGTCAAGAAAATCCCAAGCTCTTGGGGGTCTCTCGCCCAGCAGGCACACCCTTGGAAGTGAGTTCCTATTCTGAATGGTTGTGGGAAGGAAGGTGGCTATAGTGAGGACGCCTAGCCAGAAACCCCCTGCCACCAGAGAAGAGCTAGAGTCCCCAAGAGGGTTCTTACCTGTACTCGGGAAAAAGGCTCAATGACTCGGATCAGATTCTGTTCCAGCAAGTTATCATACAACTTGGCCAAGTGTGTGCTGATGATTGGGTCATCCCGGAGCTCTGCCCGGTAATCTGTTAGAGCCTGCCAAAAGAGCCGAGATTGGCACAGAAAAGGACTTGAAAGTCACGCTACTCGCAGCTTCCTAAGTAGTGAGCTGGCCCTTGTAACTACATGGTTGACTGTAGTTCTGGAGGATTTGGGAAGATGAAAGAACAGCCACGACTGAAGGCAGAAGAAAATGAAAAGAAGTGAAAGGTGGAGCCTAACCCTAGGCACCATCTTCCTGTCCAAAAGCCTCACACTGACAGCTCAAACCATGTAAGCCCTAAGAAGCAGCTCAGCTTGCAAGCTAAATTCACTGCAAAAGCAGTTCTCAATATGTATTCCACAGAACAAATAAGGCCTCCATGGGGGCAGGAGGAGGGGGAATTCTGAGGTTAAATAATAGGAAATGCTGAATTCCACAGCTAGCTCTTGGGGTTTTATAAGGAATATCAGCACAGAAAACAAAGTACCTTTCTAATTTTGTTTAGCCCTAGTGTTTCCCAAATATCTGATCACAGACCCTTTTTTTAATCCCTACTAGAAGTGTTCCATCCAAATTGGGGGATAAAATGATCTAGACTCTTTGTTTATTTGTGTATGTGATTTATTTACCTTTAGTAATGTTCTCACAATATCCCAGCCTCATGTCAGCTGTGCTATAAGGTGTTAAGGGAAGCAAGCAAATCATGCCAAGTAAGGAAATGAAATTGGCAAGAAACCTCAAGTAAGATGATGAACCCTGGGGACAGTCAGAGAGCCACATGGTCTAGTTTCTGTCCATACTATTTTTCTTCCTGGATCTAGGTTTGTTTTTATTAAGTTGGTCATTATACTCAGACTAAGAGAGAGGCTCAGAAAAGTATAAGTCTCACCCGATTGCTTAGACAAGTTTTTCTCCCTTTCCAAACCTTCACAAACATTGAGTGAAAGGCACAGGAGGCAAGGCCAGCCTAGAACTTCTGTCCTAAGGAAGTATCTCTCAGCCCAGATGCACACATCAAAACTTCTCTTTTGTCCACAGAGGAGAAGCAGACCTGGCATTTCTGGAGCTGAAGTAACATCTAAGACCATGCTGCATGGTGCTTGTGTCAGACCCTGACACACATGAGCTGTGTGACCCAGGCCTCCTCTTTAAATTCCAGCTTCCCCAAGCATAAAATACAGGTAACAGGTTTGTTGTGAAAAATCAAATGAAAGGGGACTTCCCTAGTGGTGCAGTGGTTAAGAATCTGCCTGCCAACGCCGGGGACATGGGTTCAATCACTGGTCCATGAAGATCCCACATGCCGCGGAGCAACTAAGCCCACGTGCCACAACTACTGAAGCCCGCACTCCCTAGAGCCTGCGCGCCGCAACTACTGAGCCCATGTGCTGCAACTACTGAAGCCCACACGTGTAGAGCCCGTGCTCCACAACAAAGAGTGGCCCCCCACTCACTGCAGCTAGAGAAAGCCTGCACACAGCAATGAAGACCCAACGCAGCCAAAAAAAAATCAAGTGAAAGAAGGATGACAGAACTTTTTGAAACTGAAAGGTACTGTATATAAATGAGGTATGACAATTCAACAAGTTTCATTGTACAGAAGTGCTTAACTACTTCCTGGTTTTGATACTGTACTATAGATAAGATGTAACCACTGGGGAAAACTGGGTGAATGGTACATGGGATCACTCTGTACTATCTTTGCAACTTCTTGTAAAACTATAATCACTTAAAGATTAAAAAAAACTTTTTGAAGTGCTTAAATGCCCCTCCCCTCCACCAGTTCCCTACCAACCCAATACCTTGCTTACCTTTTCAAAATCTGCCAGTGATCTGTTCTTGCTAGCCTGAGCCACACATTTTAATGCTTCTGTCTAAGAATAAAGAGAGAAACAGTGAAAGTGATCTGCACACTCACATCCCAACAAGTCTCATAAAGAACATGCTATGTCCACACAACTTCTGGCTGCAAGGAAGAACCTGCCCCACCACTCCTCTTCTTCAGAGGCCTAGGAAGAAAAGCTAGAGGAATACCACTGTGTGCCAACCAGTTTCCCTTTGAAAGCTGAAGTGACTTAAAGGTACTAGGAAATAGGAAGTTTTCCAAAAAAGAAACTTTGATAAAGCATTCTCCAAAGATGACAAGCTAAAAGGGAAAATGGCCCGAGAAGTGCGATTTCCTCGCCCCTCCTCCAAGACTCCCTATCCCTACACCCCACAGAACCCTTCCTGCCCTCAGACTTGATCATACCTTGTGCTTTATAAAAACTCATTCTGCTGGGTTTGGTGCAGGGCACAGACCAAGATTTACTTTCATTAAGCTTGAAGCATCAAAATGCTACGTATCATACTGAATGTTAAAACCCCAGTGATGAAGGTATAACCAAGGGTTAAGGGGCAACTTCTAACTTTATAAAACGTTATAAAAGGTACCCGACCAAGCTCTTAAGTCTCTACTCAGCACGAAATCTACAACATTCATCTTCCTGAGTGCCTGACTCCTGCTTGAAAGCTGTCATCAAGGAACAAAGGACCAGAGGGAACTCCTCTTGTACCAGCCTATGTACTTAAACAAGGAAGGTAGTGTCTTATACTGCAGACTTTAAAAATGATGCAAAGCTAATCGTTAGTGTAGTTTGTCTCCAGCATTTGTCCTATAGACAGAAAAATGTCATAATGAGAATAGCATGAAACTTAAAGCCAGATAACCCAAGTTCAAAGTCTCGCTTCACCATTACTAGTTATCTGGCCTTGTTCTGGACACCTGACCTCTCTTAGCCCACCTCCTCAACTCTAATTCTAGATATGATAGTCTTTCACTACAGAAATAAACAATATTCTTTTGGTCAAAACTAGGAGCTGATCTGAAACTTCTTCTGATGAAAAGCCAATTAGGGCCACTTGTATAGAAGGAAGAAATCATCTGTTGTGGACATTCTGCCAAAGATACAGTGAGATAGCCAACGTGTCTGCTGTTTAGAGACAACTGCATTTGAAACCTAGAAAGACTACTTTTACTTTACCAGTGATAATCAAGTGAAGTACAAAATGATGATGCAGACATCTGAGACATCATCTTTACACAGGTCACACTCTTACCTACTCAGGCATAAAAGCCATCACAAATAGGGCTACTGACCATCAAAGGCCTCTTCTTGACCACACCCAAACTCAGGACAAGAGTGGGAAGGTACTGATAAGAGAAGCACTTGAGTCATCAAAACCTAGTTTCTGCACCAAGCAATCTGACCTCTCTAAAGCATACGCGCATCAGACCTTACCCGGCTCCACACTCTTGGAGAATCCAAGATTTCTTATTCCGCGCATGAAATTTTCAAGCCAAGATCATGGTAGATATACTTTCCGGTCGAAGCTAAATGCAACCTAACTCACTGTAAATGCTCCAGTTCAATTCTGAGTTCTGTTAAGTCCCTCAAACCACCCAATACCCAAAAGAGCACCAAACATTGACTTTTCAGGCCAAGAATTAACAGTACAGGAAATATACCGAACGTGCTTAATGAAAAGAGGGGGGGAAAAAAAGAATGAAGAGCGGAATGGAGACCTGAAGAGCACGGTCTCACTGAACACCATGTCTAATAACACGCTGCCTCAGAGTGAGCAGAGATCAGAACTGCAGTCAAGGCATCCCCTACCTGCCTCCCCGCATACCGAAGTGCAAGCTTCCCGCTCACCAAGGCCTGGACATCTTCTGGGCTAAAAAAAAAATACATACTCGGTCAACTGCTCCAGGATATTATGCTTCTAAGCATATGTTCAGGCAAATATCTTTTCCTCTGAAAAGACTCTGCCCACAGAGGTAATAAGCCCCCACCCCTAAACCCATAGGCCTCTCACACCATAGACGCTAGGCTTTCTCCACTCTGGGCTCAGTGCTGAAAAGCAAGAAAACTCAACGTTAAAAAGAAAGCCACACTGGGAATTCCCTGGCGGTCCAGTGGTTAGGACTTGGCGCTTTCACTGCCGTGGCCCCGGGTTCAATCCCTGGTCTGGTCAGGGAACTAATATCCCGCAAGCTGCACGACATAGCCAAAAAATAAAGAAAGAAAGAAAAAGAAAGCCACACTGAACCTACCAGAAGTAATAGACCCAACAGGCAAAATGATACATATAAATCAAATCCCAGTATAACAGATCTTTCCAAACACAAGCCCTGTTTAATCCCAAGATCCAAAAAGAATCCCAGTCAGTATCTCATTTATTCCCAAAAAAGAATGTGGAATAATTCTGTAAATCTTTAGAAAAAGATCTAGCTGTCATACTTGCCGTTGTCGCCTTTTTCAAACCTCCCCCTAACCTCTCCTTTAACCACTCCCATTCTGGGTGGCCCATTGGCTGGTGCTGGTCTGTAAGCCATTTCCTGGCCCTCTGTCCTGTGCTCAACAACTCTTCTGGACAGCATTGTAGGACGAGGAGAACACTCAGAGGGGCTGGGAAAGAGATTTCTGAAATCTGTCTCCCCAGTTCTGAAAGACTAGCAAGGAAAAGTGCTCTGGATTACCTTCGATCCTCCCATTCCACCTCAATCAGCCCCACGAGGTGGCAGCCGCTGCTTCTGTAACTGGCCAAAGTCCCTGCCCAAGCCATCTCTGCCATGGCAGAAAATCTTAGATGAAGGACCTGAGTTCTCATATCCCAAAGTTAATGTGCACCTACGTGTTGAGCATGATTTTGCACAGCAACATGTACTTCAGAGATGTGATGGCCTTGGGGCTATCGATGGAGTCATAACCCTCAAATGCCTCATAGAAATATGAGTATGCAGTTTTCCAATCCTTCTCCTCTGCTGCATGGATAATACCTGGGCATTGAAAAGAAAAGAGTAAGAACCATATGAAATAATAGAACCATAAAATGTCACAGCTGGGAAGGGCCTCAAAAATCTATCCCAACCTCATCTACTTACTGATGAGGTCAGGAAAGAATAAAGGACCTGCCCAAAGTCACTGCCATCTAGTGGCAAAGCTGGGATTAGAACCCAGGTCTTTGGCCTCCCAGTTCAAGTCACCTTTCCAATATTAATTCCAAAGGAGTTAGAGACCCAACAAAAGGGGATCCTAGAAACCACATATGGTAACATCTTTTCGCACCACCACATCAGTCCTGCTATCCATTGGAACCACTAGAAAAGGCCACATTTACCCTCCATGACATTACCTTCACGGGTCAGAAAACTGACACAAACATCCCTCCCTGGTCTGCCCAAATTACTAGTTTTAATAACATCAACCATTTAAGATAGCTTTTCTAAACTTGACACTTTTATAAGTAAGCAGCTTTCGTGAGAGAGAAAAAGAAAATCCAACCTCTTACAGTCTCATTTCAGATACTGGTCATTTATAGATAGATGCGATCAGTAAATGGATTTCATGTAATGCCAAATCCATGAACTTAATTGTACACAGTTAAGCAGTATTACGCTACACTTCATCTAACCAGTTCTCTACTGTTTAGAAGTTGGGTTGCTCCCAATAAGCCTAACTTTGACTGAACCTGCTATTACTTCCAACCTATGCTATCACGTGGGATGACGTGAAAATTAGTTCTTCCTAGCTTGGAAGGCAACTAAGCCCTAAGATTCTGTGTATCAGTTCTAACCCTGCCTCAGCCACATCCATTTGTTTACCACAGGGCTTCCCAACTTTTCCACGTCAAGGTACACGAATAAAGTATTCAGCACACTGGAGTAAAAGGATGAAACTGCTTACACATGACCCCAGGGGATCACTGTTTCAGACCACCTGTCACATACCTGTATGCCTGGCATGCCAGTTGGGAACTTATGAATTAATAACCACTACTAAGTGATATGTGCCAAACCTACCCAAAAAGCCTCCTGTTTAGAGGCTGAAGGATTCAGGTCCTTCTACTACTGTTCTTAACTACAGAGGCCTGGAGAAAACCCACCCTCCTCTGTAGCCAAGGAGACCTCCCTCAAAAATACCCAACAGACTACTAGCACTGCCAAATTAAATGAGACAAATGCCCATTTTCCCATTCTTCCCAGTCCAGAGCTAGAATAGACCAGACAAAAAATAAGACTGATTAAATAAAGAAAAAAGTAAAGAAGAGCTGGTATACTGCTTTCCAAAACACATTAGCAAATAGAGACCACATTAGGACTACAAGCATCACAGCTGGCATAGGAAATTTATTATTTAAAGAAACAAAACACTAGACTGTTACTCATTCAACACAAATATTAACAAGGGCCTACCATGTGCCAAGCACTGATATAACTACTATAGAGAAAATAAATATGAATTAAGGCCCTGAAGGAGCTCACAGTCTCACAGTGGTCATCAAAACAGAAACAAGGAGATTAGTACCATAATACGTACCAAAGAATATACCTTTCATAGGGAAGTCCAAAGTAAAGAAGGCACTGAAGAGGGTTTATAAGGCAGACATGTGAGCTTGATCTGGAAGGATGCATAGGAGTTTGCCAAGGGGAGAAGATGGAAAGGGGAATTCCAAGCACAGAAGACAAAATATATAAAGGCACAGGAGCAGCAACACATAAAGTCATTTGGTGACTAGGACTGAAAACCAGAGATAACCATGAAAAGGATGTCTTCCTTCTCAATGCACTGTTAAAGTAAAATAGCCTGGGGATAATGGGGAACCATTGGAGTTACATGATCAGATCTCTGTTTCCAAAAAATGACTTTAGGACTAGTAAGCAAGATGGATTGAGAAAAGTGACTAGGGACAGTTAGATCAGTAAAAGACTACTCCAGTGGTCCGGTGGCATTAATTAGAGCAGTGATTGTAGAAATGGAAAAGAAAGGGCAGATTTGGAGACAGACTCAACCTGATACATCAGAAGAAAGAGTGACTGAGGATAATTAGTCAAGGGAGGAGAACCAAGAAGACAATGCTGTCAAAGAAGCATGGAGTGCTCAACAGTGTCAACCCCCCCAAATCTGACAGAGGATAGAGGGGAGTTACTGTCTTGCAAGGAGTCAACAGAGACACCAAAGTAATGACATTCTTTCAACTTTTCCAAGAAGCTTGACAGAAAAGGAGAAGACAGAAGGCTGTGCTTTTTCAGCTGGGGCCGTTCAAAGACTGAGAGGAAGGCCGGGGGGCCGGGCGTGGCGACAGCAGTGGGCGCTTCAGCAGTGCGCTCAGCCAGGCCCCCTCCCGCTCCCCTGCCCCTCTTGTTCACGTCCCCCCAGCAAGGAGGTCGGCACCAATGGCGGTGCCTCGGAGGCCGGCGAGGAGAGGGAGGCCGTGGGCAAGAGGAGGTGCCTGGGCTTGTTGGCCACCGCCTGGCTCACCTTCTACAACATCACCATGACCGCGAGGTGGCTGGTACTGCCTATTGCCACGGTACGTTTTTATATGGAAAAAGGAACACACAAAGGTTTATATAAAAGTATTCAGAAGACACTTAAATTTTTCCAGACATTTGTCTTGCTTGAGATAGTCCACTGTTTAATTGGAATTGTACCTACTTCTGTGCTTGTGACTGGGGTCCAAGAGAGTTCAAGAATCTTTATGGTGTGGCTCGTTACTCACAGTATAAAACCAATATAATTTTTTTATCATCTTATATCCTGTCGGAGTTGCTGGTAAACTTCATACGATACGCGACATACGATATACACTGCCTTACCCCACATGAAGAAAACAGGAACGTTCTCAATAAGACTTCCCAATAAATACAATGTCTCTTTTGACTACTGTCATTTTCTTCTTATAACCATGGCCTCATGTATACCATTGTTTCCACAACTCTACTTTCATACATTACATCAGAGAAGACAGGTGCTTTATGGAGAGGTGACTGTCGAAAAGGATGATTAAATGATCCCTACAACAAGGTGCTTTTTCCAGAATAACCAGGATTACTGGAGTCCAAGTTTTAATAACAAGAATAAACAGCTTGATGAGAAAAAAAAAAGACGGAGAGGAAGATCCAAGTGGAGATGAAAAACTAGACTTAGAATTGAAAAAACTAAAGACTTAAAAAGGACAGGTAGGGGCTTCCCTGGTGGCGCAGTGGTTGAGAGTCCACCTGCCAATGCAGGGGACATGGGTTCGTGCCCCGGTCCGGGAAGATCCCACATGCCACAGAGCGGCTGGGCCCACGAGCCATGGCCGCTGAGCCTGCGCGTCCGGAGCCTGTGCTCCGCAACAGGAGAGGCCACAACAGTGAGAGGCCCGCGTACAGCAAAAAAAAAAAAAAAAAAAGGACAGGTAGAAGGATCATGCTTGATAATGGGTAAAAATGAACAATGATACAAATTCTGGGGAGGAAAGAGAAATAAAGAAGGTTCACATAAAAATGGCCTCTATTTGCTCTGAGAAATAAGATGCAAGTTCATCTCTTGACCATAAAGAAATAACATAATGAAGAGTAGTGGCTTAAACAAAGTGCCGGTATTTGGTCAAAGCAAGGTACTGTGTGATAAGAGCTTACATTCATCATCTCATTTAATCCTCACTCTCATCCTATGAGGAGGTACAATTATTTATCACCATTTTTCAGAAGAGCTAAAGAAAAATTTAAGTAACTTGCCCAGTCACACAGCTAGAAATTTGCAGAACCAAAATTTCAACCTAGAAAAGTTGTTTTCTAGACTTTTTTCTAGAGCTTCTGCTTTTAACCTGAATCACAAAACATGCCATTTGATACTTACAATACCTGAGAGGCAAGTATGGTAGCTATTATCTCCCTCTTGCAGTTTTACATGGAAACAAAGATTGCAAAGAGGTAATACCAGGTAACACTAGTTAGTCCTCTGACTCCAATAATGCTCCTTCAATAATGATAATAAGTTATAACTAATAAAAGCTGCTGACTACAAGAAAAAGTATTCTATTGCCAATCCATGGCCTCCTAACCCCAAAATTCACACACTCCATCAGAAAGCAACCCACTACACTCCACTGAGATAGGGGGGTGGGGGGGTGTCTTTCCTCAGCCTAGATCTGAGGCCCTTTAGAAAAGTCCAACATGCTTTACAAAGGTCTCCAAGTGACAAGAGACTTGGGTTAGTCCAATTCTGGAGAGAAGTGCTACCATTCTGAGTAAGTGACTAAGATGGAAGATAAGGGAGAGCTTTTTAAACCTAAGTGAGACCTCTCTAGGGTGTTGGCTCTAACAATCAGTTTGCCTGGTCAACCACAGATTAAGCATGTTCTTAATATATTTTAGGCAGTTAACAGCAAGTGAAGAGGAGGGGGGCAGCTAGTGAGAGAGGTAACCTTCCATTGGTTTCTCTGAGGAAGCTTGAGCCAAAACAGCCAATTTTATTCTCCAGCCCCAACCCCCCAGTCCTTTCACCTGTGAGGTAAGATGAGCTTTAAGAAAACATGGGGTGTTACCTGACTGCATATCCAAGGTGGCCTGCAATTTAGGGGGGCAGTAAATGGCATTTGCTGTGGTTCGAGCAGAGGTTAAGGCAGCTCGGGCTTTTGGCAGGTTGCTCAGGGCATGGTATGTTTTGCTTTCTAATAGCTGTACTTCCACCAAAAGGGCTTTGTCATCCATCTTTTTCAACTCCCGCAGCAACTGAGAACCTGGAGAAAGAAAAAACATATACCTCCTTTGTTAGCCATAATCTTAATATTTTAATATTGTAATATTTCCCTCTCACCCTCATAAGAACACTCAGGATAAAGAAATCTGCCTGAACTCAAAATGAGGTTATTTATTTGCAAGATTTAAATTTTCTGCTAATGTGCTATCTTCCAAAGAGAAACACAGATCTCTCTGAAGCCTTTCTGCACACAAAGGACATTACAGCTGAGAATCATATAAGTTTACTCCTAAGATTTGAATACAGTGGGAATCCCCACCCAGAAAACGCTGAAATTACTTATCCAGTTCAGAGAGACACTTGATCTCACTCTCTTCCTGTCCAATAATCACAAGACTACATAAGAAACACCAGGCACTAGGGTTGGTGGGGGAAGGAAAGAGCTTTGGATATACTAACATCCAAATAGACCTTCTTTCCCCTGCTCAACATCACTAGTTTAGTCATTAGGGAAATGTAACTCAAAACCAAAATGAGATACTACTTCACACCCACTAAGATGGCTAAAATTAAAAAGACAGACAATATTAGGAAATGTTGGTGAGGATCTGGAGAAACTGGAACTCTCCTCATACATTGCTGGTGAGAATGTAAAACGGTGCAGCCACTTTGAAAAACAGTTTGGCAGTTCCTCAAAAGCTAAACAGAGTTACCATATGACCCAGCAATTCTACTTCTGGGTATATTATACCCAAAAGAAAAACATGTCCACATAAAACCTGTTCACAGCAGTATTCATAATAGCCAAAAAGTGGAAACAATCTAAATGTCCATGAACTGATGAATGGATAAAATGTTGTACAGCTATACAACGGAATATTATTCATCAATAAAAGCACTGCTATATGCTACAACACAGATGAACCTTGAAAACATTATGCTAAGAGAAAAAGCCAATCAAAAAGACCACATACTGTATGATTCCATTTATGTGAAATGTCCAGAATAGGCAAATCTAAAGAGGCAAAAAGTAGTTAGTGATTGCCTGGGAAGGTGGGCAGGCAGAGATGATGGATGGGGAATTAATGGGAAGAGACAACTAATGGGTACAAGGTTACGTTCTGGGGTGATGAAAATGTTTGAAATCAGACAGTGGTGACAGTGGCACAACTCTGTGAATATACTAAAAATCACTGATTGTACACTTTTAAAGGGTGAATTTTATGGTCTGTGAATTATATCTCAATAAACCTGTTATTTTTTGTAATGCTACTAGTTGTTTGAACCATATGAAATTTCCATTTTTGCAGGATAAGAATTGAATATTGGCAATTTTTTCAACTTAATAGATCATGAAAGCCGTGTTCTTCCATCTGGGAAAAACAGTCCAGATGTATCCATTAATTTAAAAAAAAAAGACAGCAGGCAAAGATTTCATGGTGTTTAAAAGCCAAAAGGAAAAGCCTTTAGTTGGCCCACTTCAGGTTTCCTATGTATTTGCACCCAGTTAATTTCTTGATATTTAAAATAGATTTTAAGAATAATTATAAACAGATACAGTAGATGTAATAGTAAATATGAGCAATTTGACTCTTTTGTTCTCTAAAGTTGACAGTTAGTTTCTTAGAACTTCTAAATGGCATTTTTCCATGACAGATTCAGTAAATGTAAGCCACACTAAATCCTTCTTAGAAGTAAGCAGAATATAAATTATTAATATGTAACTAATAAGAGTAGCCAGGTTTGGAATACATTCATTTAGCCAGCTACAGACGCCTTACTAGCTTCCACCAGCTTACTTACCCAAATGCAATGCTTCCTGGTACCTCTTGGTATCAAAGTACAAAGACACCAGTCTTGCCTAGGAAAGAGAAAAGGCATTGACTGACGGAAAGGGGAGGAAAAAAGCCAAAGAAAGAAATCAAAGATTGACAGTCACAGAACTGTTACTGTTGAATATTCAAGTCCTGATGAAAGCATCAAATTCAGCCTAAAAAATCATCTAGCCCGTGATATTATCTCCTATTATAGCCAGTGACTGACTAAACCACGTTGCTGCTTACTTTTCTGAGCCAAGCAGCAGGTCTGTCTCAAAACTTCAACCAGAGCAATTCTCATGAGTGGGACACTGCTACCAATAATTTCAGGTGCCTGGATAATACAAAGTTGCTGAAAATACTTTTGATCACGATGGTATTACTTATATGCACAGTCCTTCAAATGCCTAGAGATCTGAAATCAGTACTAATGTAGGCACATACCTCCAAAGCTTGGCGTAAGAAAGTTCTCTTCTCTGATTTGGCCCATTCGATGCACTCTAAACACAACTCGACCTGCAACAGGGAGAGACAGTACGTGCAACATTATGTCTTCATGTTCTTCCCACAAGCCTTGCTCTGGAGAACAGCTTTCATCTCCTCCTTACATACCCATATTTACTGTCTCAGTGGCATGCCTTGATCCCCAGTATCTCAATATGTAATGATTATAGCATAATGGAAAATCAACTTGGCTTTTTACACACAAAGTATCTTTGTGCTTAGATTGTATTCCCTTGGAAAAGAGCTTCATCTTCAAGATTCCTCTTCTACTGTCCCAGGAGGGACCCAGGCTACATACATAGCGCTGGAATGTAGATTTCTATAATGGCTGAGAAATATTTAAAGCAGAAATTTCTCCCTGAAGAGTAATAGTAATGTGTTCATGTGACTATATTGGTCATAAAGGGGAGAAATTCTCAGCCTAGGCACAAGTGTCTTACTCCTAACAGTTGCTTGTAAGACTCAAAAGGTCCAGCTGGCTTTTCCCTTCCAGATTCTAAGAAGTGCAACCAACAATTCTCATCACAATACAGCAAACTTAGCTTGTACTAAAGGAAGTAAAAAGAAATGAGAATTAGCCTAACACTTTAAGGGGCTTTTAAGCTTTCTTTAAAGGCACTTTGAACCCCAGTTCTATATGCTACCCAAGCAGTAAGGTACCATGCAAAGTAACTAACGTAAAGTAGTGTTCTATGCTAGATAGTCTACATGCCATAGGTACCCTTGCCATAGTAGCTCTGACAAGTACATATTAAGAGCTTCAGATCTTGTATCACTTCTGTTACTGCGAGTTAAGATTCATAATCAGAGCATAAAAAGAAACTGAGCTTTCCAGAGAACTAAGTGCTAAAAGAACAGGTTTTTATGTAAATCCCAATTTCTCTTAAGAGATGTTACAAGGAGGGAAAAGTAAAGGGACATAAAGGCAGGACAGACCTGCCTTTAGATAAATGGATGACATTACATGGTATTTGGAGGATTCACCAGTAAGAGTCAATGAAATCTTTATAACTCACTAGAGCCCCCTAGTGGCTACTTAATCCCCAACTCTAAACTCAACTGCCCTCATACAGTAAATTCTACAAAACCTAAAATAAAAGCAAGCCAATCACAATTTCACAGTTTTGAGTTTTGTTCTAAAAAGCCAAACTCAAAGTAATATCTCTGTTCATGACATGAATGGAACTGCAAATATTTTGCTGAACATTTTTAGCAACAAGAATAAAAATCTTCAGTCCTACGTGTCTTCGGGGGCTAAGAAATGCTTACCATCAGTTTTACCCAGCAAGCTTTTTCAAACAATGCAGAAATGAATGCCTAGGCTCCTGATCCAGTAGTCTGGAATAAAAGGTTGGCCACTCTGATGTATATCCCTAATTAAGAAACACTGAGTTCTACTCTAGCATCTCAACCTGTCCTCATTTCCCTGACAGTCCAGATGTTAAGTGACTCACCCAAGGTCACGTATTCAGCTGTTGGGACCAGAACTTGACCCTACCTCAACCCAGCTTTAATAAACTCAGGTCAATACAGACATTTCTCCTACAGCGGGGAATTTGTACAACATGAACTGCCTATCTGTTATCAATTACAGGGTACATGCTTTGCAATATCTGGGACTATAATTGGTGAAACCAGTGCTTCAGTTTTAAGAAAAAATTTTAAAGGCCACTGCCCTTGCTACATAGCTTGAGAGGTTTTGTCCTTTGTTAATGCTAATGATGACTGATAAAGGGGATAAGAATACACAAGAAGCCCATGCTTCTGGAGGAAGCCCTACTTGAGTACAAAAGCTTGACACAGTCAAGATTAGGTATTTTTTAAGCTTTAAATAAATACACTTAATCATTTTTTATGTGCCTTTATTAACTAAATTCCTAAGGGAAAAAATTAACTACCATTCTAAGTCTGAAATTCTCTAGCACAAACTCCCTTTTTTCCCTTGAAATAATTGTTTCATTAACAGGATTTTTGATGTAATGTTTCTTAAAATGTCCTATTGTGTTTTAGCTGGATAGACTATACCAAAAAACGGCTCCCCATAGAAACTGCCTAGAGATCCCTAGAAGGTAGAAAGAATTCTGGAATTTCAGTTCACTATTTGGCAGGGATCTGGTTCACTCTTCTTGCTCCTCTCTTCACCCCAACTCTCTACTCCCCTCCCCTTGCTAACCACCCCAATCCTCAGTCCCCCACCCCACCCATATAGCCTCACTTCCTAGGCTCTAAACTTTAGTACTGCAAATTGCAAATGACCAGAACCTAACCTGAATCATATCAGCTTTCGGAATACAGCAAGCTGAAGATTGCTCTGTAGATCTGACTTATGGTCAGTCCCCAAATACAAAAAGGCAAGGAAAATCCCCTCCCCCATACTCTTGGTGTTAAACTCCCCAATACTCTAGCTCTTGGTACCAAACTCCCCCAAACTCCTAGCTCTCTTAACAATGTCCTAACACTTCATATTTTGCCTCAGGCCTCAACAGTACCCTGACAGTGGTCCACCTATGACTTGCTCCTCTATCCTTTCCCATTAGTTAATCAAAGAATTTTAGAAGTACCTAGAATTTTCCAAGATGAAGAAGACCATATCCAATTTCCCCAGGTCAGAGGCCTTGAGTCACATAAACAAATGTAGTAACAATACCCCGTGCTTATATCTCAAGTCAATAAACTTAAGTCTTAATTCAACAAAGTATCTCCTGAGCACCTACCATCCGGAAGGCATAATCCATACATTCCCTCAACAAATACTAGTTATGTAGCTTCTCTGGGCCAAACTACTCTAAGTGCAGAGGATGAAGCAGTAAATAGGACACAGTACCTATCCTCATGAAACTTATACTCTAAGTAGGAAACAGATGTTAATAAGTAAAATAAATACGAAGAAAGCAGAGACAGGTATTTTAGATAAGGTGATGACAGAAGGTCTCTGAGGAAATGAGATGTAAGCAAAGACTTGAAAATGATGTGAAGAAAAAAGCCGTGTTAAGATCAGGCTGAGAGTGGGACTTCCCTGACAGTACAGTGGTTAGGACTCAGTGCTTCCATTGCAGGGGCCACAGGTTCGATCCCTGGTCAGGGAACTAAGATCCCACAAGCAATGCAGCATGGCAAAAAAAAAAGTCAGATGTATAAAAATGCCCCAAATCTAGAACAGTTTAAAGCTAAGGCAAAAGGCCAGTGTTACAGCTGTAAAGAAAGTAAAAGAAAGTATATGGTAGGTGAGGTCAGAGGTAGCCATGGTTAAGGAATAGCCATGAATTAGGAATGAGAAAGGCACTGTGGTACTACAACGGATATAGGGCTTCACCCAAATGAGACTATATTACAGTAAATAAAATAAAGCAAGGGACTTCCCTGGTGGCACAGTGGTTAAGAATCCGCCTGCCAATGCAGGGGACACAGGTTCAAGCCCTGGTCCAGGAAGATCCCACATGCCGTGGAGCAACTAAGCCCATGCTCCACAACTACTGAGCCTGTACTCTATAGCCTCAAGCCACAACTACTGAGCGCGCGTGCCACAGCTACTGAAGCCCATGCACCTAGAGCCCATGCTCTGCAACAAGAGAAGCCACCGCAATGAGAAGCCCGTGCACCACAATGAAGAGAAGCGCCCGCTCGCCACAACTAGAGAAAGCCTGCGTGCAGCAACAAAGACCCAAAGCAGCCAAAAATAAATAAATAAATTTATTTTTTAAAAAAATTTTAAAAAGGAAAGAAAATAAAGCAAATGTTCAGGTAATCATCATACAAGGCATAATCAAAAATATAACATGTACAAAATATAATGTGGATCACTGAAGAGTTAAGATCACAGTGACGTCAACAAGGAAAGATTTCAGAGGAGGTGGTACTTGACATGGAACTACAGAAGGGAAAGGTACTATCATGAAGAGTGTACTCAGCAAGTATCCAACAAGGCTGGCATGTTTGGTACGCTTCATAGAGTACTAAGAGATCAGACTGTCATGCTAAGCTGTATTGTAGAAAAACATGTAATACCTAATTCTGTAGGCAACAGAGAGTCACTGAAGGCTCAAGTTACAGGTGAACAGAGAGGGGAATAAAATGTTCAGAGGGTTACTTGGTGGGGATATCTCTCAAAATGGTGGTACGAGGCTTTTGCAGTAGTCTAAGTAAGAAATAATTCGTAAAGCAATTATACTCCAATAAAGATGTTAAAAAAAAAAAAAAAGGGCTTCCCTGGTGGCGCAGTGGTTGAGAGTCCGCCTGCCGATGCAGGGGACACGGGTTCATGCCCAGGTCTGGGAGGGTCCCACATGCCGCGGAGCGGCTAGGCCCGTGAGCCATGGCCGCTGAGCCTGCGTGTCCGGAGCCTGTGCTCCGCAACGGCCACAACAGTGAGAGGCCCGCGTACCGCAAAAAAAAAAAAAAAAAGAATTAGAACCCATTGTATATATCAACAATACCTCAAAAAAAAAAAAAAGAGAAGAATTAGAACCCAAACTAGATGGCAGCTGTACATAGAGAACAAATATAAAAAGAGGTGGAGAACAGAGATTGAAGAAAGTTGCACTGACAGAATTTAATAAATGGCTGGATGTTGATGTTGCCATGTTGAGTTTGAGGTGCAAGTAGCACCATCTGGATGATTGATAATTTATTCCAAAACAAGCAAATAACCTATAATCCACAAAAATTACTGAAAGAAGACCTGCTAAGTGGATTAAGATCTCACTCTTGATAAAAAGCTAAACTACTGTGACTTCCCTGGTGGCACAGTGGATAAGAATCCACCTGCCAATGCAGGGGACACAGGTTCAATCCCTGGTCCAGGAAGACCCCACATACCACGGAGCAACTAAGCCCGTGCGCCACAACTACTGAGCCTGTGCTCTAGAGCCCGTGAGCTACAACTACTGAAGCCTGCGCGCCTAGAGCCCGTGCTATGCAACAAGAGAAGCCACTGCAATGAGAAGCCCACGCACCACAAGGAAGAGTAGCACCGCTCACCACAGTTAGAGAAAGCCTGCACACAGCAACGAAGAACCAACGCAGCCAAAAATAAATAAAATTAAATCTTAAAAAAAAAAAAAGCTACACTACTAAACATCAAAAACAAAAGAAACCAACAGCTCTTACTCAGCACTAAGATGACACTGACAATAAAATGACACAGTACCTGAGAGTGTTTCCTTTCACCCTAAGATAAGGAAGAAAGGTTTCTAGTTGACAAAAAAGTAACGTGCAATGAACAATAGCAATGTACACACACAGTTAAAAGGAAGGCCTCTCCAGACATGGAATACATGACAAAGGCCAGTAAAACCCACTAGCCAATTACAGGAGAGCACTAAATTATGATTTCAATAATTTAGATAAAGGAGTAGAACTGATCATTAAACAACTGCAGTTCTATCCAGAGTCAACTCTATGTTATGGGAAGGGACAAATTCCAAGACTTCAGCGTCAAAGAAGCAGCTTGGATAATTAGTTTTTTCTGCCTAAAATGTTCCAAGTAACATTTATTAGTCTGTTTCAAGCTAATACTTATTGGTCAGCCCATTCTAAGGCATCCTAGGGGACTTCCCTAGCTGTCCAGTGGTTAAGACTCCATCCACGCTTCTTCCAATGCAGGGCGTGCGGGTTCGACCCCTAGTTGGGGAACTAAGATCCCACATGCCGCATGGCGTAGCCAAGGAAAAAAGAACAAGGCATCCTAATTCAAACAAAAGATGGGGTGTCACTTTTTCATGAGAACAAATACAATTTAAAAAAAAAATTAGGGTTAGATATAAGAGTAGTACCCCTTAGAAAAATCACTTTTTCTTTTAAATTATTCATAAAAATAATTTTAATGCTCTGGTTCAAAAGGCAGCTATCTACATATCTATTTTTGATCTACTGTCATGAAACACAGTTCTCCCAGAAACAAATGAATTTGAAGAATTCACTACAGATGAATTTTCTACAATGAAGTTAGTTTATGGTGTTTAAACTAGGTTTCAAAGAATCATTAAGGCAAGAAACCAGATTTTACAAAATGGTTTTTGTAAAACCATTTTACATGATTTCAAAGTGAGATCCATATGTCCTAGGTTTCTGAAGTTCCCCATTATTTACTCAATATGCCACTAAGCCCCTTCATATCTTTTACACCCACAGAGGCTATGGCAAACAATGAAATATATATATATATATGTGTACATATATATATAAAATAAACAACTACCAATTCCTATCCTTGCCTTTATACCATCTGACGTTTTATATATTTATTACCTGCCTTCATCATTAAAATATAATTCTCATGAGAGCAACAACTGTATGCTGTTACAAATGAATCCCCAGTATCTATAACAGTGCCTAACACGTAGCAGGCACTAGTGAATGCTCATCAATAAATCTACAGAAAAGACAACAACTATAGTCTCCTACAAACAGATTCAAGCAACCACCATATACCCTGCTTGAATCTGTCACTTTTTACAGAATGAATTTTAACTTTGGTAGCGTCTCCTTCTCCTGAATTGCAGACAATACAGCTACCTTTGAAGAATGGGAAGAGGCTCAGTGATTCCAAAGAGGCTCTCTTCAGTGCAGCTCAGGGTCTAGTCTGAACTCACAGACGACATGTACAGGTATACCAGTCACTTCTGCACACACAAGACGAAAACAGATGGATGCTCACCCCTCAATAAAGGCATAAATGCAGTACAAGACATGCCAAGAAGGGATGCCACAAGACTTAATTAGTGCTCACAAGGAGCTTTGTGACACAGAATGAAAGGTACCACAGACACAGAAAACATTACAAAGGTGTGGCAATACAATACCTCAAAGACAAGAATCAGTTTGTGACCCTGATGTAATGAGGATTCCAGGGACCACTGACAATCTCCACTTACAAAGCAAAGCATGGAACAGACCCAAAGTATCAAATGCCCTGTAACAAAGAGAAACTGACATGATAAGTCCTGCGCTGTCCTCCCAGTTGTCCCTTCCACATTAGTACCACAATGCAGGCAGGCACTTCTTTCACTGAAACAACACTTTGCTCCACAGTGTCTACCTTCTGTCATTAAAGTAGCTCACCTCCTGTCCTGTAGCTGCTTCCATATCAAGAAACAGATCAAGAAGAGATCGGACCAGACGAGCTGCTTTAGCCTTGCTGATGGAATTCAAGAAGGGTCGCACATACTTCAGCAGTCCTCCAAGCTCTGTGTGGAAGGCAATTCAGACAGGAAAAAGTACACATCAATATTAAGGACAAAATACCCATTAAAAAATGACCCAAGATCATAAAACCAGTAATTATGTCTGGAATCAGTCAAAATGAAACTTAGTAGGAATTTAAAGCATTCTTAGCAGGTAATGGAGTAGCAAAAAAGTTAACATATACCAAATCTGTATCCCATTCCCCACTCAGCCTCTGGAATACTGTGAGGGTCCTGGGAAAAGCTTATGTCTGTCTGCCTCATGAGTACAGCAAAGTACTCACACTCTCAGAAAACAGTTTTCTAGAACACAAAATATGCTATGCCTCTTCCACCTTAAACAAAATTACTTCCCCACAGCTACCAAATTTATCAGGTTATAGGAGTTAAATTTTTTTTTTTCCTAATTTCCAACCAAGTCTGTCTCAGCAGTTCCCCTTAAACAGAGATTTTTCAATTCCAGGTTCCTTTTTTCCTCCCTTCCTGAAGTAATGCCCAGCTTAGTCTTTTACCAATATAATTTCCATGGCACTCTTCTGAATCAACTTTTCACATAAAAGTTAGGGTGTTTGTCCCTTAAAGTTATACTATAACCTTTTAAAATTCCTCATTAATCGGCAAAACCTAAGTCTTAAACTATGACAAAAAAGCCATCAACCACAGAGGTTCTGCCCACCCCTTATGTAAGAAAAAAGGGTGGCACAGTAGTCTAAGGGAGCACCTTTAGAAACAAACGTGAAAATTAGAGAATATGTCAACTAAACAACTAAGGAAGTTCTTTTGGAATGTAGGTTAAAATTACTTTAGTGCCACTGCCTCCAACTGTAGACTCATCCTCCTGAGAACTCGAATTCAGGGCAAGCAAGCCTCCCCCTCCTGAGAATGCTAATTCAGGGTCCTGAATCCTCATCTGCCTGCACAGTCACAGGATACATGAGACCGTGTCAGGTATAAAAGGAACTTTATGCAGAGTGGAAAAGTTCATCTTTCCCTTCACTCCCCAGTACTGACCTGTGAATCCCACCGTCTAAGATTTTTTTCCAATTCTGCCACTCCATTCACTCCTGTACTGACTACACACACGCCTGCTTTCAGGCCTCGCTCATGCTGCATTTCCACCTGGAATCCCTCCCCATCACTTCGACCTATGTAGATCTTAGATATCCTTGTAGGTCCAGCTGAAGTCCTAGTGAGTCTTCCATGCCAATGCCAGGCTACACTGATTTCTCTCCCTCAAATTACTTTTGCATTTATGCAAACTTCAATTACGTTATATAATCATAGTTTTTTAAAAGCAGTCTAGTGCAATGTCCCTTCTGAAACAGCATTTCCCTCTATGCTTGAACAAATCTAAACACTCCCTAGTGACAGAAATATTCAGAAAGTAGACGATTCCAGTGTTGGTCAAACTAAATTGTTCTTTTCTGAAACATGATTCTATACCCTCTTTCCACGTGGCTTCAAATATTTGAAGGTAACTATCACTCATATCTCCCTAACTTTCCCTTTCTCCAAGCTAAACAGCTTTAACTATTTCAACTGTTCCTCCAATGTCCTGGTTTCTAGATTGCTTGTCACCTTAGTTGCCCTCCTCTGAATTAACTCTAGTTTGCAAATGTACCACTTGTGGTCCCCAGAACTGAATCAACGTTCCATGTAGGGTCAGACCAGTAGTCATGGCTTAATTCTTCTGATTGGACTGCCACATGTAACACAAGAAGCATGTTTTGCTTTTGCTAATAGCACTCTTTGTTCAGACTGAGTCCATAAGGTCTTTTTGCATAGAGAGGTAATTCCCCACGTTCTTCTGTTTTGATAAAATAGTTTAAGTATATAACTTTATACCTTCCACACTGAATTTAATCTTGCTGGCTTTGACAATAACTCTGAATCTTAATTCTGTTCTCTACTGTACTGAATCATCTACAAAAATAAGCACACCTTCTGATATGGCTTTAGCTCTACTGCCAGAAACTGACCAGAAGAACAAGGACAGATTCCTATGACATGATGCTAGACACTTCCCGTCAGGTCAACAAATGATCCATTTGTCATGGCAAATGTTCAAAGACCCTGCTTACATCAGTTATGTTGTCTATATCATTCTTCCTATCCCAGGGGTTGGCAAACTTTTTCTGTGAAGGACCAGACAGTAAATATTTATGGCTTTGTGGGCTATATGGTCTCAGCGGCAGGTACTCAACTCAGCCAGTGTAGTACAGAAGCAGTCATGGGCAGTATGTAAACAAATGTGTATGGCTATGTTCCAACAAAACTTTATTTACAAACACACTTAGCAAGCCATTGCCTGTGGAACCCTGCAAATCTGCTGTCTGATAAGGCTAACCAAAGAGAACCAAGGTGAGTTTGGAATAACCTTTTCTTAATAAACTCACTGCTTTATGTGCTTAAAACCTACTTATCAAATAATCTGTCCTGGAACTTTACTGATGATTACCAGTTTACAGTGTCTAGAATTTATTCTTTTCATTATCTTTTTGAAAAGTGGAATAATGTTTTGCCCATCCTCAGTTTCCTTATACCTCTCCACCCTCCATGATTTTTCTCAGAATAACAGTGGCTCTATAAATATATCTGCTACAACTATTCTTTTGATATTAAAAGACAGTTGTCAGAACCTAGAAACTTGAACTTATTTAAAAAAGACTACCTGCTCTCTCTTCTCTCACCTACTTTAGCTTTAATTCTCTCTTTCTAATGTTATTTCTATCTTTTTCTTTTTGAAAATCATTTTCCTTCCTGGAAAAGGCAGAAGTGAAACATGAGCTAAGGAGTCTGCCCTTCTCTCCAGCACTTGCTAGCATTACAGTATCTTCTCCAAGTTATTCTTCTAACAGAAAAACAAATGACCTCTTAGTTGCCAAAGACTCAGTTCATTTTCCATTTTAGTCTATTACTGTTTCTTAGTCGTTCTTGGTTATATTCCGTTTCTTTACATTTTCACACTGATTTTTTTTTTTAATTCTTATAGAATCATACTGAGTTTTCCTTCTATTCTTACTGAAATTATTTGCAACTGTGTGACCAGAACTTCCTTTTCAGAACCTCACAGAACTCAACACACTCCATTAAGAGTCTCAGGCTATGAAATCTGCAGATCCTGAGCCTAGGCATCATGTCTGATGATGAACACCACTACTTTCAATCACTATTCTGCATCAGACACTGTCTTATTCACTAATTCCCAAGTGACTGATGTCCATCAGGGACCCTACCTTAAACTTTTTGAGTAGAGTACTTAGCACAGTGCTAGCCCTATATTAAATGCATAACAAAACAAAATTGGAAATCAATGGAATAGAAATATTTTCTGTTCTCGGGGAACCCAAAAATCAAAGGAAACAACACAAACTGATCAATTATTAATAGCAAAGATAGGTAAATGAGTGTAGGCCCCGAAACTTCCTTACTATACCTGTCAAAGTCTTTCTTAGAAAACAATAAGTAACCTGGAAATGTTTTTTAAAGTTCTTATGATTCACCTGTTAAATTCCACTAAGTTTCCCTGTACACTTCTAAACTTCTCAGGTAGGTCACAGGGAGGGGAGGGCAAGAAATAAGGAGAGAGTAAAGCATGAAATAGTAACTTCAAGCAAAGCAGTAACATTTTTGGACAAATTTTCTGAAACACTGACTATACTACATGCTGTTTTTAATTATCCATTCTACTTGAGAAAAACAGACATTTGGATCGTTCAACAACAGAAAAATCATTTCAGGGAATTCCCTGGCAGTCCAGTGGTTAGGACTCTGGGCTCTCACTGCCAAGGGCCCAGGTTCAATCCCTGTTCAGGAAACTAAGATCTCAAGAGCCATACAGCGCAGCCAAAAAAAAAAAAAAATCATTTCACCTGGTTTTCTAATTCTTTCAGGAAAATTACCTTATTAATTATATTTCATGTGGACTAATGATCAAAAGTGTTTTGCAACCCCAAGCTCACATTAACTGACAGGCAAAAGAATCAAACATGTTAAATAGGAGGGAAGTCAGCCTAAAATGAAAAAACCACCACCTACCACTGATAACTCATAAGTGGATAACTATGGAAAGCAAATACTTCAAGGTCATGAGCTCTGAAATAGGACTACATGGATTCAAATTCTGAGTCTCCCATACTAGCTGAGTGCCCTTAAATAAGATATTTAACTTTTCTGTGCTCAGTTTCCTCAGGTATAAAATAGGTAATAGTTGTTTATACCAAGTTGTTTCGAGGATTCAATAAGCTAAATCCTGTTTGGGCTTAAAACAATAACTAGTTCATAATAAGCACTCAAAAACGGTTTTTCTCATTACAGATATTTTTAATGATATTTTTTTTTTTTTTTTTTTTTTTTTGCGGTACGCAGGCCTCCCACTGTTGTGGCCTCTCCCATTGCGGAGCACAGGCTCCGGACGCGCAGGCTCAGCGGCCACGGCTCACGGGCCCAGCCGCTCTGCGGCACGTGGGATCTTCCCGGACCGGGGCACGAACCCGTGTCCCCTGCATCAGCAGGCAGGTTCTCAACCACTGCGCCACCAGGGAAGCCCTTAATGATATTTTAAATAAGGTACAAGATTCATATAAATACATCCTCCCAATTTCATACAACTTTATTCAACTTTCTATTGACTGAGCCTAATAATTAATGTTATCATCCTTAACTGGAAAAGATTTTTGTTTTCAAGTTCAAGGAATTTTGCTAACTTACACGTATCATCCTTTTGGATAACAACATAATTTGGGGGAAAGTAATTCACGAGATCAACCACGTTTAATCCATTCTAATCAGATAAGCCCTAAATTCACTTTAAAGTTGACAAAAATCATCCATTTTAAGTTTAAGCAGGCTACTCTCTAAATACTATTGTCACTTTACTGGTCAAAAGCCCTTCCTTGTCAACAAGACTCTCCTTCTAAGGACACACCCATCATCAGAATATCATCTCGAGCTTGCAAAGTCAATGGTTCAATTACAACTAGAATGTTTGGGCAACAACAGGCACAAAGCCCTAGGTACCAGTGGAGAAATCCTGGGAAGGTTCTCTCCATTTAATGTCTTACTCATTGTGTATCAGACAGCAAAGCCACTTCCTTGGACACAAAATGCCTAGTCATTTTGAAGTCAGGGGCCTAGAGTCACTATCCACCTTAAATACATCACAGCAGCTCCATGAAATCACCGAAGGCTGCTACTGCCCACATGTAAGGGAATGCAGTGAAAATCCGAACGAGAAACAAATCACAGGTCACTATATTCCAAAAGAAACAGGATTTTTTTTCCTCATCTGCAGAACAAAAGTCTTCAATGAAAGAAGTGAGTGTAAAGGTCTCTTAACTTCCTGATAGAAAACTAAAGCTCAACAAGTTGGCGATAAATGAATTACACTACCAATAAACTGTATGGATGCATTCCTATGTTCTCTCACTCCAACCAAAAAA